AATGAAGGAAAAGTTGAAAAACTTCTTGTGTAAAAACCTTGATGTATTCACCTGGAAGCACATGACATGATAGGAATCGACCCTAAGGTCAGTTGTCACAACTTGAATATTGATCCGAAAGCCGCAGCTCACAAACAAAAGATGAGAGCCCTTAATCCAGAAAGATATGAAGCCCTAAAGGACGAAGTTAAGAAATTGACCGACAATGGCTTCATCAGGGAATCTGTGTATTCGAAGTGGGTCTCCAACCCAGTTCTGGTGAACAAGCACAACGGGAAGTGGATGGTATGGATTGATTTCTCGAATCTAAATCAAGCATGTCCCAAGGATAGCTTCCCACTCCCTAGGATAGACCAACTTGTAGATTTAACTGTTGGACACAAGCTCCTCAGCTTCATGGATGCCTAATCTAGGTACAACCAAATCCACATGTTCCCACCGGATGAAGACCACACTTTTTTTTATCACGGACAAAGGACTCTATTGCTATAAGGCTATGCCCTTCAGATTAAAAAATGCTTGAGCAACGTACCAGAGGTTGGTTAACAAAATGTCGACTTCATCAGCAAATCCATGGAAGTATATGTGGACGACATGCTGGTGAAAAGCCAGAAATCCACATACCACATTACCCACCTGAATGAGACTTTCTAGATCCTGTGAAAGTATTGAATGAAACTTAATCCTTTAAAATGCACTTTTGAGGTATCATCTGGCAAGTTCCCTGGTTACATAGTTAATCAAAGAGGTATCGAAGAAAACCCAAAAAAGGTCAGAGCTTTGATTGAGATGAGGTTCCCCTAGAAGCCAAATGAAGTTCAAAGTCTCACTGGGCGAGTAACAGCCCTAAATCACTTCATATCTAAGGCGAAGGACAAATGCATCCACTTCTTTAAAGTTCTTAAGGGAGGGAGCAAGTTCCAATGGACAGAAGAATGTAAGCTGGCCCTGCAGGAACTAAAGAAGCATCTAGGGCAAACACATCTTCTTTCCAAACCAATAGCCATGAGGTATTACACCTATATCTGACAGTAACCTCCGAGACAATAAGCTCAGTTCGGATAAGGGAAGAAAACAACCATCAGTTGCCAGTGTGCTATGTGAGAAAAGCACTTCTAGCCGTTGAAACTAGGTATCCTGACATGGAAAAACTGTCCCTTTCTTTGGTAATTAGCTCGAGGAAGCCGAGGCCCTATTTTTAGGCACACAACATCCATGTACTAACCAATTACCCCCTCAAACAAGTGCTTCAGAAGCCAGACACCTCAGGGAGGTTACTTAAGTGGTCTGTGGAGCTCAACGAGTTTGACATCCTCTACAAACCCAGGTTAGCCATAAAAGGGCAAGCTTTAGTTGATTTCGTAGCTGAATTTACCCCTGTCCTCAACATCAAGGTAGAAATAGACCTTTGGAACCTCAGATTTGGAGACACTCGATCGATGGGTCGTCTAGTGATACAGGGTCAGGAACAAAAATTGTCTAAATCAGTCCGCAGGGACATAAGCTCAATTGTGCTGTAAGGTTCGACTTTAAGGCAACCAATAACGCAGCCGAATATGAGGCCCTGCTAGTAGGCCTTCGATTGGTAAAAAAAATGTAAGTAAAGCGGCTCATAATCAGCAGTGACTCCCAACTCGTTGTTAGTTATGTACACGGGAATTTCTCTGCTAGAGATAAATCTATGGTAGCTTACCTAAAGCTGGTAATCAGCTTTGTCCCTTCATTTGAAAGGTTCGAGCAGATGCAAATACCAAGGTCCTTCAGTGCTCATGCTAACGCACTGATAAAATTGGCAAATAACAAAGATTTTGAGCTATCAACGTGGTCCCAATTGAACACTTCACAAAACCCTCCACAGAGGTCGGCGAGACAGTTATGTGGGTGGAAGATACCCTTCCTGGATGTAGCTCATCATATCCTACTTGAAGGACCAAACCGCACT